AAAGGCTCCTACCGCTTACTTAAATCCTCCCACCTGAATGCCAGTGAAGCTCTCCTCCAGGCCATATCTCGTGACTCCTACCCCTCAGCTTCTGTTCCCTGGTACTAAATCCCAACTGCATCTGAGCACCTTCCTGGGCCTAAAATGGGCGTGGTGTCTCCAAGAGACACTGTCTACCCCTATATCTCTGGAGTTCAAGACTGAGCCCTCTCATGTTCTTTACCCTGCACATGACCCGATAAGGTTAGTCACACAAGAGGACTGAATTAAACGCTCTGAGTTTAACTGGCTAATTGGTCCAGTGATAAAAAGACTCCATCTCCTTGTGCGGAACGAAGCCCAGATCTTTGGGTAAGCTGGAAGGTCTTCGCCAATAACTCAAGTCACCTTTCCAGCTTCAGATTGCTCTGAACCAGAGAAGTGATGATAAACAAACACTGAACAAAACCAGTGCTCTGGGGCTGGTGGTGAGGAACAACCCTGATGTGTCATGTGTGCTGGTTACATGATGTGGACACCCCACTGTGGCCGATTTCAAGCCACCAATGTGATGTCACGGACCTCGGAGTTGGGAAGAGATGCACAGGAGCACTGTTATTTATCATTATATGATATAGTAAATACCATTTACTGCAGCTCGTAAAATTCCTGAAAATTCAGTAACCAGCTCTGAGCTAAGCATTGGCCCTCGTAGGAGAAATGAGATGCCCTGTCCTTTAGAAGAGCAGCTCCCAGTTTGAGGGGAGGACCTCTTCCCTGGAAACCGTGGTGTACAGTATGGGTGGATGAGAGTGCATGATTGTTCTGGTCGGTCTCTTGTGGCCACAAAACCTGAAGCAATGAGGAGTCTTCTCTCCGGTCATGCTTATGGGTGTAAATATCCAACGTTACAGGACAGGAAGCCAATTGCAGACTGGGGTAGAGAGAGGACCAGACGAGAACCTGGTCACCCAGGTTCTAGTTCCCAGACTCTCTGGTGTTCCTAGCCCTGGATCTTGGGCCCATTGCTAGCTTCTTGAACCCCACTTTCCTCAGCTGTCCAGTGGGGTAACTTACCACCTGTGCTGCCCATTATCTGAGGCTCTGGTGAAGATGAAAAGCAGAAAGGGCTGTGTGAGTAGGAGAGTTCCACACCAACCGGAGTTACAGAAGATAAGAAGTCAGGCTGTGGAGGCAAGTTCGGTGTCGTCATTTACAGACCAAATGACCATGGGCAACTTACTTGAACTGCTAAAACCTCAGTTTTCTCATCTGTAACCTCGGTGACTGAGGTGTACCACCCTCAGAGTGTGGATACCTCATTAAACACTGGCTTTGTCATTGCCTATATCCAGATCCACAAAATAAGTCCTTCCCTAAGGGTTTTATACAAACCTCCCAAAGGCCACCGGCTTGGTCAGAAGGAGGAACAAGTGTGTCCAGATGGTCCATCGAAGTACAGGACCTCCGGGACCTTCCTCTGGCAGCGGGGGAGTGGGTGGAGAGCTCAGGGCCAGACTTTTCATGGCTCCCGCACTGAAGGTGGTTTGTAACATTTTCCAGGGCTGGTTTCTTGAGACTTCTTGGTGAGATGTGCAGTGGAAGCTAAACTGTGGTGAGGAGCTGGCTTGTACAAACTGAGGAGTGACTTCAGATCAAACATCCTCTTCTCCCCCTCACAAGCCACCCAAAGTTCTTTATCTCCTCAGAGGAAGGACCAAAACACTCTTGCAAGAAAAAGTCACAAAGACCCAGAGCTCTAACTCCTGACAATTTTACCATGTTTCCAAGAGGTTACACCTCCCTGTGGAAGTGGACCGTGGTCTGCAGCAGGCACCACCGCTGTCTCAGGCAGGAGGCCATTGAGCACTGAGGGGCTCTGGTAGGCGAAGC